CCATCGTCAACGACTCACCACGCACGAGACACAGAGACAAGTCTGACGTTGCCTTCAAGCTTCACCGCAGCACGAAACGAACCGAAACTATACCACCTATATAACACAAGTCTTCATTCACCCCGAAGAATATATAATTGCTAAATTGGATTTACCCAAAATTGTGATGATGGGGAGCAGGCTATTGTTTGATATAGATATGAAAAAGCTAGGCTGAAGTGGCTTTCCATATAGCTTCAGTCTAATGTATACGGTAGTTGCTATTCGGCAGAATTGGACATGACTTGCTATCTAGAACTGTTTTTCATTTAATTTACTACACATTGTTTTGTATAGATCTGTACTTAAAATAGACCACTTTACTAATGTAACGGTATTCAATTTTTATGCATACTTCCTTCACAAAAGTTACCCATGACAACCCCAATGCTTGCCTGAGGTTTGCCAGAAGTTTGCCTGACGTAGGAACAACTAATGTATGCAAAACAAATTAAACAAATTCAATAGAAATAGACTTGAAACAAGTAGGTGAACGAAATCATCATATGCGTTTGGGCCAGAAACATCCATGAATATCAATACATTTTAATTAGTAAACTGGGACCGGATTCATCAACGTTGCGTAAAGTGTATTGCGTACACCGAGTTTCTACGAAGTACGTACGCAAAGCTCGTAGGTGCGATTCATCAACGCAGCGTAGCACCTGCGTACGCAAATGTTGATGAATTCCAGTGTAAATCCACTACGCCATCGTGGCTGCTGGCTGTTGAAGGGCGTGCCTAGCATAAACCAATCACACTGTGCGGCACATACCGATAGGAACCAAACTAACGCCTCTCTTGTATTTAAACCATATGGCTCGTCTAGCTCTGTCTACATGAGTGCTGGGGGATGTGATAGTTATGTTGTGTATTCTGTTTCATAATTCGATTCAAATTTATTCGATGCGTGAATCGAATGATTCGATGCATCATTCGATGCGTGAATCGAATGATTCGATGCGTGAATCGAATGATTCGATGCATCATTCGATGCGTGAATCGAATTATTCGATGCATCATTCGATTCATTCGATGCGTGAATCGAATCATTCGATGCGTGAATCAAATGATTCGATGCATCATTCGATACGTGAATCGAATGATTCGATGCATNAAGAATAGGGAGGAGGTAGAGGAGGGGGAGAATGTGGTGGAGGAGGAAGCGGGGGAGGAGGTGGCGGAGGAGCAGGGGAGAAGGTGGTGAGGCAGGGAGGGATCGAGGTGGTGAATGAGAGAGAGGGAGGAAGGGAGGGAGGGGTCGGGGGTCGAGGTGGTAAGTGAGTGAGAGAAGAAGGGAGGGAGGAAGGGGAGGAAGGGGGGGGGGGAAAGTGGTTTGAAGGCGTTAACATGTTAAAAACGTATAAAGCTGAG